TTATACAAATTTATCCAGCTATTTAAGAAACAGAGCGAAGTCTCTAAGTTATTAATGAACTATTTAGTTTAGTGTTGCTTAGGAAAATTAGAACTGTTTGAAGTACATTTTAATAGTAAACTCACAGATATTTAGCCAGCTCTCTGTTTGCTAACTAATATGGAAGAAAAAGCATATATCTATATCGATCCTGAATTGGGAGAAGGGAAATAAAATATTGCCAACCCCCTTTCGTTGTGTACTGTGATAAGGAGGTAAGGCTTTTTGTTATTATAATTGAGTCCGGAAGAGGTTAAGAGATTCACCTAAAGTCACATGACCAATAACTTTCAGAGATTTTACCCTAGGTCTGGAAAGACTCTGAAGCCCATGTTATTGCCTCCAGATCCTGGTAGGGAACCCCTGAACGTGACAGAGACTCAGCAGACAGAGTGGTCCTTTCCTTCCAGGGAGTCAGGGAAGTCTTGGTAGAGGAGATAGATCTGGGTAGAATGTGGATGAAAAGAGATCATGTTGGGATAAGATCCAAGCTGTGCATGAGGAACAGCGAGAGGCCAGCTCTGTTAGGAAGGGTGGTTTACACAGAGGAGCATGGAAACATTTGCTCCATGCCCTATCTTCTGTGGATAGTGGTCCAGAAATGCTAGCTGCCTGACTGACACTTGTTCATTCTGAGCACCTGAGCCTGGGTCTGCCCTGCCCCAGATTCTGTGAGCTGGGACTGAGAATGTGTCCTGCTGTCCCTCCTCCCCTACTTGGGCCTACACCCTTTTCTACACATTTGATTTGGAAATGTGAATTGGCCTTTCTGTGAATCCCAGTGACAGGCAAGTCCCCAGTAAAGGGACACTTAATTTAATGGGTCCTTCAGGGTCCACTTAGAGTAATAGCTGTGAACAGCTCTCCCTAGTGTGTCCCATGGGCAGTGACAAATGTTGCTAAAGATGAGTCACAAATTCTTGGCAAAGCCATCATAAATATGGGAAGGAAACCTTCGTCCCTTCTAGACCGATCTTATCACAGGTTGCACATTGCCTCAACGTTGCCATGTTTCCACCCTCAGTTGTGCTTGGCAGAGAAAGGACAGCCATACACAAAGTCTGGTCACTCCATAAAGGTGAAATCATTTTTTTTTCAAGGTAATTATGAGTCTTCTGAGGATGGTAATTGAGTGACATGTAAAAAATGAGAAAAGTTCCACTCATAACTCTCTCTGCTTAATTTGCTTATATAAAAGACCTAACGGTTTTTGTTGAGTTGACCCAGAGTCAGCAACATTTGAATAATTCTCCCTGTGTGTTATTACCATTTGAACAGCAACAGAACAACAGGGTAAATGGATGCCAAAGCTTGCTGAGAGTTTAGGGTTTGCATTCCACACCCCAGCCTTAAATATGATCATATAAATTCTTGGTTGATTTTTCTTTTTCATGGCTTTTCTTTGACATTTGATGGGGCTGGATTTATGGAGGCAACTAACAAGTTACACAGCAACAAATTCTGGACCGTAGTCCCACAGCCTTGAGCCTAGATACTAGCCGTGTCACTAATATGCTGTGTGACCAGGGTAAGTTACTTAAATCCATTTACGACTTTCCAAATCAATAGGTTGGACAAGGTCATCTTCAAAATGTCTTTCAGATTTAAGCCTGAACATGTGAGATTCTGTCATGTTTGATTTTTAGTTTTCTGTTCTCGGAGCATGTCTACAATATAAATGGCTACCTTCATATATAATAAAAGGACATTAGATTAATATGGTATCTGTGAAAATCATTGAACACCTTTAGAGATAAAAATAATGAAACGAGTCAAGTTATCCATTATAAATTGTTTTAAATTTTCTTTTTATAAACTATGAATAATAAATTGGAACAAAGATACAATCCCACTACAAGTAAAGTGTAATTTATGTTAAATACACTCTGTCTTTAGAGAAAACTCAATGAAATTACTTTTTTAATTTCAGAGATTTTTAGGGAAATTATTGTTATTCCTTTAAAGTGATAAATATCATCCAAGATGCCCTTTTATCTGCCTCAGAAGCTTGAGTGCCAAAGGGTTTGATAAATGTGGAAAATAACCACTGATTAAATATCCTTTTGGCCTGCTGGTAAGGTGCCCTTGTGTTGTCTGAATGCAGTATGTGTTTAAACTTGCCAATTGTTACCTGAAATTGTGTCATTTTCGCTCACACACTTAGTAATAATCTTGTAATGCTTGCTGAGAATTGAAGCAAATGCCCTGTGAAACTCAGGGGAGCAAGGTCTTTGTTATTTTCAGAAGAAATGACTGGGTAAGGCTCTCAAGAGATCTTTTGGTCGTTCTTGTGGAAAGAGGGATGGAGCCCTGATTCTTTGATCTCACTATTGAATGGTTGGTTGAGAAGACTATCCTCCTGTCCTGGAAATCACAGTGAGTGGGTAACTACTCGAGGGCTAATTTGGTCCCTGAATGTGAATGTGTTTGTTGAAATTTCCTTGTGATCAGCAACTGTTCAAAACATCCATTTGTGTTGCAGGGTCGTTGCATTTTTTCTAATCTCACTGCAGAGCTAAGAGAGAGATTGGCTTTAACGTTTCCTTTGTAATAGGTTTTCTCGCTCCAGGAAGGATACATGACAGGCCCTGCACACTGCTGCTTGGTAGGCATTCAGTGATGGATGGCATTTGCCATCTCTCAGGTACAGCTGCAGTTGTGCTGACCCTGGTGTATTTGCAATGCGCACTGCGGAGTGCACCATGATCTTGTGATGGGTGGAGAAATCCGGTGGCTAGAATTCTAGGGAGGAGGACATCAGTGGGAAGTGCAGAAACTTCACACTGGGACATGGATGAAGGAGATCCAATTCCGTCCCTGAAGTCAAAAAGGAGTCACTCATTGGGCCATCACAAGAGCAAATAAAGTCACAGTTATTTCTTCAGATTCACAACTCACTCTTTTTGTCCCAAACAATAATGAAATCAGCTAAAGCATATTGTATTTATTACATCAACTCAGTTATTGAGCCGTTTTTTATCTTCCACCTTGCTGCTGGAAGATACATAGATGAAACACCATCGTTTCCGTTGATTCTGATCATACCCCACATTCATACAGCCTTATTGCTCTGAGTCATAGGGATTTTATGCTCATCTATTCAAAAAACAGTCTTTACCTTATTAAAAGGTGATATGACCTGAATTGAAGGTGATGTTTGGTCATTTTGTGTAAACCTTTTAATATTTTAGTGGTAAATACATATCTTGAATTTTGACAAAAACAGAATTAAAATGAACATATTTAAAATAGACATCTTCCAAATCTTCATTTTAAAAATAAACATATTCCAAATGTTCATTTTTAAAATGAACATCTTCCTTAACTTTTAATGAATAAAGAGTTGAAAAGGAAAAGCCAAATGCGCACTATGCTGATTTTATCTTGAGCAGTACAGAATGTGCAGTATCTTAAGAATATAAGTCATTCTGCTGTTATTCATACTAGCCTGTTCATTAGCATTATTTAAACACACACATTTGAGTGGCAGGGGACTGGGTGCCAAGAAGGGATGTCCAGAGATGAATGGGCATATGTGTTAACCTTATAGGACACAGTCGAGTAACCTGAACAACCAGTGACGTGTATTGGGTTCTAGGTTAGAAGTCAGTATTTGAGGGAACACAGAGGAAAGGTCTTTTCTTCTCAGGAAAGGGATGCTCAGAAAGAGAGGGCTGATGACGGCCCTGGTTCATGAGAAAAAGGGCATTCCTGGCTGATGGAGTAGCAAGAACAAAGCCAAGAAAGCCTGGAATGTCTTGGTGCATCAGCCTGTCTGGGAGTGCAGGGCACGGCTGGAGTTCTGGCTTTAAGTTGAGTGGGAAGAAGGGCTGGAGAGGAGGTGGATCCAGGAAAAGTCACTGGGAACATTTATTCTTTCGGCAATGGGGAGTCCTGGAAGAACTGTTGTAAGGAGGATCATGTGTGATACATCTGCCTTTTAGAGATGTCATTCTATAGCAAAAGTAGAAAATACAGACCAGCAAAAATCAAAGAAGTGAAAACAATCACTGTTCAAACTCTGGTCTAGCACTCAACCAGTTGTTTTACCTACAGGTGCATATTCAAACATGCTTTTAAAATTTATTTTTATTTAAAATTTTTTCTATCCTCAATTTCAAAGGGAACAAATCTTTTTTTAAAAAAAATGAGATCCTATTGTACACATTATTTTAAATCTCTTTTCATTCTCTTTTTTTTAATTAAAAATTTTTTTTGAGGCAGACTCTCACTCTGTCACCCAGGCCAGAATGCAGCATCGTGGTCTCAGCTCACCGCAACTTCACCACTCATGTTCAAGCGATTCTCCAGCCTCAGCCTCCCAAGTAGTTGGGATTACAGGTGCCCACCACCACCATGTCAGGTTAATTTTTGTATTTTAGTCGAGACAGGGTTTCACCATTTTGGACAGGCTGATCTCGAACTCCTGGCTTCAAGTGATCTGCTTGCTTCAGCTTCCCAAAATGTCTTTCTCTTTTTAAAAGCATCAATAAAACACTTCCAAAGCATTATTTTGATAATCATACAGTAAATTTATGTTACATCAATATACCATAATATACTCACATTTGAGCGTATAAATTGTTTTAAACTTTCACTATTATAAATAGTGCTGCTCTGACACCTTCAGGATGCTTTTTATTATTTTCTTAGTCTAAATTTCTAGAAGAGAAAGTTCTGACTCAAATGGAATACATATTTTTAAAGGCCTGCATCTTTGCAGCCTTTCTAATACTAGTCAATATCATGCTTTTCTATCTTTGCCAAATCATGGATGATCAAGAGTGAATCATGGATTTAATTTGCACTTCTTTGAGGCTGAATGATGCTCATGAGTTTAACTGGCCAATTGTATTTATTATTTTATAAGCTGAGTGTTCCTGCCTTTTTTCTATTGTAATATTGGGGCATTTATCTTAATCAACATGCCCTAATGCATTTCCATCATACATGCCGTTATGGGAGGTATGGAAGAAACACGGGAACAGCCTTTCTCAGGACATCTTTTGTTTCTCCCACTAGCTCTGAAATCACATGAAGCTGTGGATGGAGATTCACCTGATAGTTGCAGAAACCCCTCCCAGCCCAGGGACCATGAGTAACCAGACACTGGTAACCGAGTTCTCCCTGCATGGCTTTTCAGAGCATCCAGAATACCGCGTGCTCTTTTTCAGCTGTTTCCTCTTCCTCTACTCTGGGACTCTCACAGGTAATGTTCTCATCATCTTAGCCATCACCTTCAACCCTGGGCTCCACACCCCTATGTACTTTTTCCTGTTCAATTTGGCTACTATGGACATGATCTGCACCTCTTCTATCATGCCCAAGGCGCTGGCGGGTCTGGTGCTGGAGGAGGGCGCCATCTCTTATGTGGGCTGCATGACGCAGCTCTATTTCCTCACGTGGGCTGCATTCTCAGAGCTGCTCCTCCTCACGATCATGGACTATGACCAGTACGCAGCCATCTGCCAGCCACTGCATTACAGCAGCATGATGAGCGAGGCATTCTGCAGTGGGCTGGCTGCAGCTGTGTGGCTGCTCTGCTCTGTCAACACGGCCATCCACACTGGGCTGATGCTGCGCTTGGATTTCTGTGGTCCCAATGTCATTACCCATTTCTTCTGCGAGGTCCCTGCACTGCTGCTTCTCTCCTGCAGCTCTACCTATGTGAACAGTGTCATGATTGTCCTGGCGGACGCTTTCTATGTCATAGTGAACTTCCTGACGACCATCGCGTCCTATGGCCTCATCATCTCCAGCATCCTCAAGGTGCGGACTGTAGGGGGAAGGCAGAAAGCCTTCTCCACCTGCTCTTCCCACCTCACCGTGGTGTGCATGTATTACACCGCTGTCTTCTATGCCTACGTAAGCCCAGTCTCCGGCTACAGCGCCGGGAAGAGCAAGTTGGCCAGCCTGCTGTACACCGTGCTGAGTCCTACCCTCAACCCCTCATCTATACCTTGAGCAACAAGGAGGTCAAAGCAGCCCTCAGGAAGCTTTTCCCATTCTTCAGTAATTAAATTCTATCTTCTGAAGTTCATATTCTTGGAGATTGCGGTTTAGTGAAGTCTGATGAACAAGTTTCTGGACTGGGAGGCAAATAGACTTGTTTCTTCCACCCCAGCAGAAGTCTGCAATGGATGAGCTGGGAGTTCTGGTGCCCCGAGACTGGCTGACGGGGGTATTGTGGTAGGTGTGAACCACCAGCCTCTGAGACACAGGATCTCATGGTCTGACTCCACCGTGGTGTCAGTGCTGAGTTGGCAGAGAAACACAGCTCCCTGGGAGGATAAATGTGTTCCTTGTGTTTTCGACTCATAGCCATATCAAACGTTTTCCTTTAGTTTGTACAACACTCAGGGTATAAATTCTAAAATCACACTTTGAATTCAGGTGTGTGGGTCTAAAATGTTAGGCAGGATTGTGGACCCCACAGCCCCTGAAGGGTTGTCAGACTAAAGCATTGTTTTCAGGTGACCACTGGCCTCTAAGAAACCTACCCCCGTTATCTTACCTCAACTCTTTCCTCTGAAGCCACTTGGACTTCAAAAATAGTTTGATTTTAATGCAAACAGTTATGTCTGCTTTTCTCTTTTCTTCTTACAAACACTTAAGAGAAAATATACTATTAGGACTGCCCATTGCTTCCAGGGTAGACACTCCAACTTTACACCTAAATACCAGCCTGAGATTTTATCCCTCCTTGACTTTGTTCTCAGATCCTGAGTGTCTGACCTACCTAATTGGCCTGGGGCAAGGACATCTTCCATGAGTCAGCTCTAATAAGTTACATGGCATTGTAATAAGGCATTGCTATCCTTCCACTGTTTCAGATAAAACTGGGTGGACGATTCCTCTGTGTCTAATGAAGGCAGGTCTTGTGCTTGTGCGCCATGCTACGAGAAAACCACACTGAGAGTAAAGTTTGATATTTGATTTAGAAAGGATGGTTCTTCATCCAGTATTCTCATTATCATTCATCAGAAGCTCATTGATTCAAGTATTTGATGAATTGTGGCTGTTGTGGCTTTGGCACGTAGATTGTTACAGACAGTTTAATCTCTTCTAACAGAATTCTGACTCCCAAATAACATACTGAAACCCTCAGAGGTTTCAGAGACTCTCCAATAAACAAGGCTTTGAAAACGATTACCAATGACTCTGTATGATTACTCATAGATTTTCAACATTAAATGAAGAGTATTATTTATAGTGTTATTCATCTTAGTTTCTTATCATTTTTTACATTTTCTATATTTTACAACAGATTTGAAAAACAAAAAGCACTTAGACATGCATTGAGAGTTTAAGAGTGTTAGTAATTTAGCAAAATTGAAATATAAGACTTGATTGACATTCTTACAAAGCTGGTATCTAATTAAACAGACTTGCACCCGTGATGATGAATATTTTAAAAAAGGCATAAAGAGTGTTGCATTTCAGGGGATCTGGCAAGATGGCCAAATAGGAATAGCTCTGGTCTGCAGTTCCCAGTGAGATCACCATAGAAGGTGGGCGATTTCTGCCTTTCTGAGGTACCTTGTTCATCTCATTGGGACTGGTGAGGTAGTAGGTGCAGCCCACAGAGAGCAAGCAGAAGCGGGGTGGGGCTTTGCTTCACTCAGGAAGTTCAAGGAGCCGGGGGCCTCCCTCCTGCAGCCAAGGGAAGCCGTGAAGGACTGTGCTATGCAGCCCAGATGCTACATTTTTTGCCTGATTTTTGCAATCCACAGACCAGGAGATTCCCCCATGTGCCTATACCACCAGGACCCTGGGTTTCAAGCACAAAACTAGGCAGCTGTTTGGGCAAACACCAAGCTAGCTGCAGCAGTTTTGTGTTTTTTTCCCCCCATTGGTGCCTGAAACCCCAGCGAGACAGGACCATTCACTCCCCTGGAAAGGGGGCTGAAGCCAGGGGAGCCAAGTGATCTTGCTTAGCGGGCCCCACTCTCATGGAGCCTAGCAAGCTAAGAACCACTGGCTTGCAATTCTCGCTGCCAGCACAGCAGTCTGAAGCCAACCTGAGATGACTGGCTTGGCAAAGCGGCTGTGGCCGGACTGCCTGTCTACGGTCCTCCTCACTGGGCAGGATATCTCTGAAAGAAAGGTAGCAGCCCCAGTCAGGGCCTTATAGGTAAAACTCCCATCTCCCTGGGACAAAGCACCTGGGGGAAGGGGTGGCTCCTGCAGACTTAAACGTTCCTGCCTACTCGCTCTGAAGAGAGCAACAAAAGGATCCGGACAAGGAGGATTCCCCCTGCACAGTGCTTGAGCTCTGCTAAGGGAAGACTGCCTACTCAAGTGGGCCCCTGACCTCCATGCTCTTGACTGGGAGAGACCTTCCAAAAGGGCTTGAGAGCTCCAGCTGGCATCAGGCCAGTGCACCTCTAGGACAAAGCTTCCAGAGGAAGGAACAGGCAGCAATCTTTGCTGCTCTGCAGCCTCCACTGGTGATACCCAGGAAAATAGGGTCTGGAGTGGACCCCCAGCAAACAGCAGCAGACCTGCAGAAGAGGGGTCTGACTGTTAGAAGAAAAACTAAGAAACAGAAAGCAATAAGATCAACATCAACTAAAAGAACCCACACAGAACCCCCATTCAAAGGTCATCAGACTCAAAGATCAAAAGTAGATAAATCAAAAATAATTATCAATTATTATTGATAATAAAAGACTATGATGGGAAAATTTGAGGGACATATATAAGGATTAGAAAAACACACTTCATTCAGCTAGCAGAACCCAAATTTTTGTTCACCCTATGTGTATATAAGGATTTCCATACAACTTTGTGTAGGCTTGTTTTTCTCATATTTGCAATATTCACATTGCTCAAGGAACTGACAAAGCAATACCAATGAACTGGGTGACCATTGCTTTTTTTAGCCTTTAAAATTTTTAAACATTAGTAGTCTGAGATAGTGGATCATATTTGATAATCTACTTTGAAACAAATGGAAAAAATATACGTTTTCATTTACTTTTACCTATACATAAAAAGGCACATAGTTTAAAAATAATTGCATTGTTTGGGATTAACACAATTTGTTTACTATAATTTAGCATACTAAAGATATTCCACAATTTATTTATTTATTTGCTGATACACATTTGAGGTGTTTCTGCCTTTTGACTATTGTGAATAGTACTGTTATGAACATGTGTGTACATGTATTTGAGTACTTTTTTTTTTTTTTTTTGAGATTGTGTTTCGCTCTTGTTACCCAGGCTGGAGTGCAATGGCGCGATCTCGGCTCACCGCAACCTCTGCCTCCTGGGTTCAGGCAATTCTCCTGCCTCAGCCTCCTGAGTAGCTGGGATTACAGGCACGCGCCACCATGCCCAGCTAATTTTTTTGTATTTTTAGTAGAGACGGGGTTTCACCATGTTGACCAGGATGGTCTCGATCTCTTGACCTCGTGATCCACCCGCCTCGGCCTCCCAAAGTGCTGGGATTACAGGCGTGAGCCACCTCGCCCAGCCTTGAGTACTTTTTTTCAAGTCTTTGGGGTATATACCTTAGGAGAGAAATTGTGTGGGGAGGGGGAAAGGGGAGCAACAGCTTAACGGGTATGGGGTTTTCTTTGAAGATGACACTATAAAAATGTTTTGGAACTAGATAGAGGTGGTGCTTGCGTAACATTTTGAATGTACTGCATGCCACTGAATTGTTCACTTTTAAATGGTTAATTTTATATGTACATTTACTTTAAAAAATCCCATAGTTCTGAAAGTTTTATAATGAAAAATAATAGTCCCTTTTTAACAAGATGGCAGAGTAAGAGACATCACCTTTCAGCCCTTGCCTCCCCACAAAAAACAAACAGACAGGTATCCACAAATCAAAATGGCCCTGAGAGGACTCAGGGGCTCATTTAATAATCTACAGCAACACAGTGGCATGAAGAGAGAATATTCACACAGAAAGGATCACTGGTGAGACTGGCATACCTGAGATACCAGGAAATAGCTAGGAACAAAGAAGAAAAATGGGATCTATTGGTATCAGCCATATGGGGAGAACCACCATGGTTCTCAGCAGCCTGCTCTGCAGAGGACACCGACTATTCTGACATTTCCCAGAAAGGAACATGGGGCTGTACATACCTGTTCCTAAAAAAGCAGCTGCTGTTATCCCACTCTGGGACCAGAGCTGCCATCTCAGCCAATCTTGTGTATGATCCTGACCTCTAAGCCTCAGTTGCTCCATAAGTGCCCACACTTCAGACCCCAGCTCTGTGGCTGTACTGTACCTGACTATGCCTCAGACACTGGTTCACATCCTGGACCCCATAGCCAAGGTCCCTCTCTATGTGCCCACAGTTCAGATAACAGCTCTGAGCTAGCCCATGCTCTGGATCTGTCTCTGAAGCAAGGCTGCATAGACTCATGCCTCATATACTAGAGCCACCACCATGGTGAGCTAGCTTGGATCCTGGTCCTTGGAGCCAAGGCCTCTCTATGTGTGCCTGTGCTTAGAACATCAGCTCAGCTGCCATAGAGAGCTAGGATCACCCTGACCCTAGAGGCGCTGTAGCTCTATGCATGTCCATGCTCTCATCCACAGTTCCCTGGCTGCTCTACAAGTATCTGACATGGCGTACCATTACCAATTTGGCTGTGTGGTGGTGCCTGTGCCCTGGGCACTGGTATCATTACCACCTCAGACCCCAGAGCTGTATTTCCTCCACATATGTTATAGGGTTAGGCATTGTGGTTGCTTCACAGATACCACTAATCAGACACGAGTGCCACTGCCACTGCAAGTTGGCATGCAAGCCAGATTCAATATCAAAAGGATCTCCTAAGCCCCAACTTTTCCAGTGGGAGAAAAAGAGACTGGGAAACCTTAACAGTCATTACCACTGGAGACCCTTTTATCTCTCACTGACACTGCAGACATCCACAGTGTTTGTTGTTTTGGATCCCTGAAATCTTTGTCAACACCAAACTCAGTTGACAGAGCTGCATGGACTACCTTGCTACACCATCATCAGTGCTAGAACTGCTGTGCCCACCCAACCAGTGCCCTTGAACCCCCTATATCTGCATAGTGGAAGATCTTTCCTCAATGAAACCAGCCTATAAGATA